TCTTTTTTCAGGCTTAGGCTCATAAGTTTTCTTTTTCCCTTTGATTCCTCCAAAGCATCCCCAGCTTTCCTTAGAGAGCCTTTCCCTTCCCTTCCCCTCCCCACAACAGATACCTACCTCACAGGGTGTCTGTTGTGGGGAGGGGAAGGGAAAGGAGTTTGTAAGCCGCTCTGAGACTCCGAGTGACGGGTGGGGTATAAATCCAATCTCTTCTTCTTCTTCTTGGTGTAGTGGTTAAGAGTGGCGGACTCTAATCTGGAGAACCAGGTTTGATTCCCCATTCCTCCACATGTAGCTGCTGGGTGACCTTGGGTGAATCACAGTTCTCTCAGAGCTGTTTCTCAAGAGCAGTTTTCAAAGAGCTCTCTCAGCCCCACGTACCTCACAGGGTATCTGTTGCAGGGAGAGGAAGAGAAAGAGATTGTAAACTGCTCTAAGACTCTGTGAAGGGTGGGGTATAAATCCGATCTCTTCTTCTTCCTCCTCCTCCTGCTGCAAGTTGGTCCCCAAGTTTTCTACTAATAGTAACTCATTAGTCATTTATGCAAAGGGTTTGTATATCAAATACAACAGTTTTGCTGTCTCATTTTGCTATTCTTGTCATTCCATTTTCCCACCCTGTATCTTGTTAGGGGAAGAGCTATTTTCTCCCTTTTGGAATGCTGCCCCTGGAGTGGGACCCTACTACATAGGCAGAAGATCCCAAAGTTAATTGCCCAGGAGATGCCTGTTGCATGTGTAAAACATGCTTTATACGTTATAGCTCCTGCATAGTACCTATTAGGGTAACAATATAATAAACAAAAGTTGTTTTACCTTCACTTCACTTCTGCCTTCCAGGTCCCTAGATGTGAATCTCTTACCTCATTCACAGCTTCTTGCGCAACTTTCAACTGTTCTTTCTCTGCATCCCTCTTGCTCTTTGTCAGGTCTCCAAAGGCAGTTGTCAGGAAATGATCCATAGCAACTGAAGTCAGGAAAAACTTGCCCATCTGGTTCAGTTCATTTACTATTCAGCCGTCTATGAATACAGCTGGGGGGGCAAGTAGGATAGGAGGTTTATAGTGATCAGAAAACTTAGTTTGAGATGCCTACCTGTGATTCACGTGAATAAAGAAAGTTACTCTATTCCTGCATGACTGCATCCTTTTATTGTTGGAAAGGATCCTGACTAAGCCAAGACTATTTTGGAAGCAACCCCCCCCCCCTGCACACACTGTTTGCAAAGGATTCATCATCTCCCAGTCATCCAAAGAGAAACATACAAGATAGGCCCAGTTCTATTCTACTGTAAAACTGTGTGCCAAACATACAAATCTGCAAAGTTTCCTCTACACATCAGTGAATGAAGAGCCAAAATTGCATGTTCGGTTTTGGTTTAACTTTATGTTGTCAGAAATGAAATACCACACATACTTTTTTCATTGTGCTTTTGATAGCCCTTTCAAAACCTCTTGCCATTTTTTGTTCAAATTCTAGACATGAAACCCTGCTTCAGAACTGTTCAGAGTCCCAAGGAGTTGTAGAATCAGGGCTGGCAGAACACCACAGAATGGATTTATGGAAAGAGCTGCCCCTTCTGTAGCATAATAATTATTATAGTGGTCTGAATTTATTTATTTATTTATTTTATTCAATTTATAGCCCTCCCTCCCCTGCGAGCAGGGCTCAGGGTGGTTAACATTGTAAAACATATTATACAGTTAAAACATAAAATTTTGTGTGTAATAAATAGGATAAAAACAGCAACATAGTTAAACTATTTGATGGTGTAAAATCCTGGGGGGGTGTAATTATCTTAAAATCTGCTAGAAAGGAGAGGGAAGGAAAAGGTCGGTAGAGGAAGGGGAATGAAATGAAAACCTGTTGCTGCTCTCAACCATAGGCTTGGTGGAACAGCTCTATTTTAACAGCTCTACAGAACTGCAACAGATCCTGCAGGTCCCGTATCTCACCCAGAAGAGCCTTCCACCAGGTCGGAGCCAGGGCCGAGAAGGCCCTGGCTGTGGTCAAGGACAGCTGGACATTCTCTGGGCCAAGGATCACCAGGAGCTTCATATAACTTTAAATGTAACACTCTTTGGGGGACTTACTAGAAGAGACGGTCCCTAAAATATGCTGCTCCCAGACCAAGTAGGGCTTTTAAAGGTTAGCACCAAAACTTGAACCTGATCTGGTATTCAGTCTGGAGCCAGTGCAGCTGGTGGAGCTCCAGTTGGATATGGGCTGTGATGGAAGTTCCAGTCTGAACTCGCACAGCCGCATTCTGGACCAGTTGCAGCTTCTGGGCCAGTCTCAAGGGTAGCCCTGCATAGAGCAAGTTACAGTAGTACAGTCTGGAGGTGACTGTTGCATGGATCACTGTGTCTAGGTTGGGGGGAGACAGGAAGGGGACCAACTGCTTAACCTGATGCAGATGGTAAAATGGCAGTTTAACCACATTGGTGACCTGGGCCTCCATTGAAAGGGAGGCATCCAGCATCATGCCCAGACTCTTGTCAGTTGAACCAGATGACAGCTGGACACCATCAAGGGCTGGAAGTTGGCATCCCAACCCCACATCTTCCCGGCCCAGCCACAGGACCTCCATCTTCGATGGATTTAGCTTCAGCCGGCTCTGTTTTAACCAACTAACCCACGGCCTCAGTAAGCATACTGGTGACATCCCAGCACAAATCTCTACACCAGCTGGGCAAGGGGGCACATAAAGATGTTAAATAACATTGGGGAGAGACTTGCCCCTTAGAGGACACCACAGACCAAAGGGTATCATGGTGAAACCCTTTCCCCTAGCGCCACCCTCTGTCCCCAAACTTGGAGAAAGGAGACAAACCACATCAAGGCTGTCTCTCAAATCCCCACATCAGCAAGGCGGCAGGTCAACAGATCGTAGTCGACCGTGTCAAATGCTGCTGACAGATCAAGTAATATCAGCAGCACTGACCTGCCTCTATCCAGTGTCTGTGTAGAACATCTGTGTGAGCGACCAGCACCGTCTCTTTGATGTTGCATTTGAGTTGTCAGGAAACATGATGAATTGTTTTTTTAATTTCAAGGTAAAAATAACAGAGCAAACCAAGGTAGGGGAAAATGTATGGTAGCTTTGTTGTGAATTCTGACTTTAATCTGTAAAGCTAGCTAACTGCTCTTGTTTGAACAAATGTTCATGTTAGGAAACAAAACCCACACATATGAACTCATGCATCAAGTTGGGTCAGCCCAGCATGCTCTTTGGTAATCCACTTGGAAGAGCCAGTTTGGTGTAGTGGTTAAGTGTGCAGACTCTCATCTGGGAGAACCGGGTTTGATTCCCCACTCCTCCACTTGCACCTGCTGATGTGACCTTGGGTCAGTCACAAGCTCTGGCACAGCTGTTCCTGAAAGAGCAGTTTGTGTCAAGAGTTCTCTCAGCCCCACCCACCTCACAGGGTGTCTGTTGTGGGGAGGGGAAGGGAAAGGAGTTTGTAAGCCGCTCTGAGACTCCGGGTGAAGGGCGGGGTATAAATCCAATCTCTTCTTCTTCTTGATCTAGCAGGTGTTTTTAGTTGCTGCTAGGACCCATGCCTTTTCAGGTATTGCACCCACTCTGTGCAGTAACCTTTTGGAAGACGTTTGGAAGGGCCCTCTATGGCTGTCTTTCACAGGGATTATAAGGCCTTACCTGCATAATACATTTTCCATCCTGGGGACTATCAAGAAGATATGCACTGGGTAAAACTTAGATTTCTCAGGTACACAGAGGCACAACTTAGATTGGGACCACAGGGAAGTGTGCTTAAACCTTTGCCCATGCCATTTTCCTAACCTGAAATGGCCCCAGAGAGCCACTGTTTTGTTGAGGAAACTTGCATGTAACTCACTGATACACATGTAGCCTGCAGTAAGTCAAACAGTGGTTCCCAGAGCAATTTTAGACCAGAACTAAGGGTGTGCATTCAGATCTACCTGAGCTAAAAAGATACCAGGTATATTTTGGCTTCCCAAATGTATCTGGGTTTTCTCAGGAAAACTGAAAAAATCCCATATATATTCAGGAATTTCAGGTAGATCAGAAAGTAGCAGAGAGGCTGAAGGAGATTGCTCCCACCTCTCAGCTGTTTGTCAGGCAGGCTTATGCAGTCCCTTTAAACTTTAAAGGGAATGCAGAAGTCAGCCCAAGGATCAGCTGGAGTGACGGGGAACTGAGAGCTCCCCACCACCTCAGCTGTGGCTGGTTTCCCATGCAGCCCGGTTTATACCAGGCTGCAAGAGAGGCCAGCCCAAGATGAGCTGGGTCGGTGGGGAGTTGAGAGCTTCCTTCTCCTGCAGCCTGGTTTAAACTGGGCAGCAGGAGAGGGCAGCCCAGCCGGGATCAGCTGTGCCCATGGGGAGCCAGTCACTCCCTAACAGCGCAGCTCTGAGCTGAGCTGCCTTCTCCTGCCACCTGGTTTAGACTGGGTGGCAGGACAAGCCAAGCCAGCCCCAGGTATTTTTTACTGGTATTTTTCTTCTTGGGTCTATTTGACATGGAAAATTAAATCCGAGGGTTTTAGGGAATCCTGAATTTTTTTTTTAGTCCAGTAGACCCGAACTGAAAAATACTGGTAAAAAACCAATTTGCACACTCCTAGTCAGAACTGGAAGGGGAATGACTTAAGCCCTCTCTTCCCATATGACATGGTCCCTATAGAAATTGGACCCCCAACTGCCTTGGAATCAAGTTTCACCTGGGAGATCCCAGCACGCAGTCTATTAGACAGTTCCTGGGAGGACCATTGTGGCTAGGAGTGGTCCTAAGAGTTTTCTCTTCTAAAAGTATTCAGTGATTAATATGTATATATTCTCTCTTTTGTGAACCAGTCCACTATTTATATATTTTTTGTTGTTATTAATGTGAGTTTTCTGCAGAGTTTAATGTACGCTGCTCTGTGTACACAGAGTGAGAGGGAAAGAAGTGTTAATCTAAATAAAATTATTGTCCCTGCTCTTATTCATGAAGAACTATTTACCTTGCATTGCAGTAACTTTCACAGACTCCAGTTTGCGGCCCTGAAAATCTTCAGTCCCAGGAATGTCTGGCCCTGGCCTGGAAGGAGAGCAGTCAGTGGAACTCTGAGGCCTTTTTTTCAGGTCTGTGTTTGTATTTGCTCACAGACACCAACTAATAGCTGCCAAGGGAAATATGGGTGGGAAACTTCATGTCTCATTTTAATGTCTGTGTTACCTCTTGGGAATGGGAGATGCTGGGAATCTCTTGCGTCCTCAGAGGATAGAAATTGGCCACTCACCCTTTGCCAGCTACTTCCTTATTAACCACAACAGTGTGGGCAACTGTCAGCCATTAACTAGCATTCTGTGATTACCAGCTTCCATAATAAACTTGAGTGAAAGTTTTAATCTGACTGACTTTATCTGGTTAAAATTTGCTGCCTTAATGTTTTAGTGTGAAAAAATTACCTTGCACAGAAAGAATTTTAAGTAAGATTTAACATTAATTAAAGAAACCAACACAAAAATCAGCTTGTATTAGACAGTTTTGTATCTTAACTGTTACCACAAAGAATACAGAGTTCTGGCTTTTGTTCTGAGTCTGTGATTGATGAATGTAAATATGTCAAATGTATATGCATCCCAACCTTTCTCTAAGAAAAACAGGGATTTGTCCAAAGTCACCTGGCAAACTTCATGCTGAGTGGGGATTTACAGTCTGGTCTGGTCTCCCGCTCCACATCCAAGACCCTACCCATCTGCAGTAGCACCTGAGTCTTGTAAGGGTAGCAGTAGTTCCGAATAAGGGGATGGGTGCTAATTGGGAATCAGCTAGGAGTGTTCTGCGTATTTCACCCTAAGAGCTAATGTGTTCTGTCTTTTTTGTGTCTGTTTTGCCTCCATGTATTATAACAGGGTTGTGACGTCTTGGAACCTACCTGCTATTGTCCCCATTTCTCTAGCACCATGTCAGGTAAAGCCTTTATGAAATTCTAGGAGTTGTGATCAAGTCATCAAAGTTCTTGGATTTCTAACAAAAGCCCAATACCTGAACAGCCATACAAATTTTATTAACTGACTCCCTAGCTAATTAGGTATAACCACACGGTTTTTTCTACTTGTTGTTCAGTCGCACAGTCGAGTCCGACTCTACTTTTTCTACTTAGATTAAGTAATTATTTTGGACCTTCAGAAAATAATTTTGCTTCCCTCATTCTCTGTTACCTTAGCCTGTTCATCAAACTGGCCACCCTTCCTTGAACCACAAGCATCCTTTCATCCACTTTTTTCAAGTGGAAAACTCAGGAAGTACCTGCCTGATTACTAATCATTATCCACAGCATGAAGTCATGACTGATTTTAACTATGCCAGAGACAATAGCCAAGGACAGTTCAAAGGTTCTAGTGAAAGCAAGAACACAGTGAAGAGGCTCTACTGAAATAACTGCTTTCATTAGTCTTTAACAGTTAAAAGAATTGGAGTTGGCATGTGTTTAATGGAGTGGCATTCATCCTGCCCTTTTTTAAAAAACCACTTTCTGGAATGATAGCTTTTCCCTTGTTAGGTAAAACCACATTAGACCTGCACACACTTAGCAGTCTTTGAGTTATTGTGTACTTTATTCCACACCTTATATAATTAAACTGCTTTTCCCTATAATTTTCTAAATGGTGCTTCTTTTGCATCATCAGTAACCACACTTGTTTGCCTGCTATCTAATTTTCACTGTATATATTGGCTGTGGGTAGCTGATCATTGCTTGTAAGGTTTGATGCTCAATACCAGAAGTAGAAATTCAGCTGCCTTCATATTTAGCTCTTGTTTCAATTCTGGAATCTGTTTTTGTAAATAAACATATCCATGTGCACATGAAAAGCTCTTCCTCCTTGTGGTGGTTATACCTGATGGGCGGTTCAGTCCAAAGCTATGGGTATGGGCAGGGCAGTGTTGAACAGTTGTAGTGGTCATTTCTTGAGGCAGGCCTCTCCTCCCTTGATTGATTTATTTGATTGATTGATTTAATTTGTATCCCACCCTCCCGGCCAGAGCGGCTTACAGAACAGGGTAAAAATCCCAACAATACATATAAAAACACAGCAACAGTTAATATAAATACAGTGTTAAAACCAAAACATAATAATGAAGTGCTGGCATAGTTCTTCACTTTTAACATCAGCTCCATTGGTCTGCTTCAGTTGTTTTGGGGGATTTGGCTTGGGCAATGATTAAAGGGACCAGCGGATCTGGGCTCTTCCATCCATAGGGTGCCAATTGTTGTTGGTGATGGTAGTAGTGGTAGTGGTAGTGGTGGCAGCCCCAAAGGCCTGGCGGAAAAGCTCCATTTTACAGGCCCAGCGGAATTGTGGAAGGTCCCGCAGGGCCCTGATCTCCTCTGGGAGCTCATTCCACCAGACTGGGGCCGCCACTGAAAAAGCCCTGGCCGTAGTTGAAGAAGAAAAAGAAGAGAGTGCTCAGGAGGACCAGCCAATTCTGGGTCTCTGATCACAGCGCTCTCTGGGGTACATATTGAATAACTGTATGGGGTACACTGGCTTTGCATCTCCAGTTGGAGGAGTGGAAGCTCTCTTTGAATGTTTGTGTCTTCAGAGAGGAGTACTTGTACAGGTTTGTTCTCTCCCATGGATGCTTGGGTTTACAGCTCCTTTTTGTGCAATTTGGCCCTTCTGCAGGGTTCCAGTCAACAAAGCCCCCAAACGTGATTGACTGTAAATATAGATGGTAGCCTTAACTGTACCAGGCTTGGGGAAGGGTGGAAAGCTCAGTGGAGAGCTTGTATTTTAATTCTTTGAGAAATATTTAAAATTATGCTAGGGTTCTTATTAGGGTTGCCAGCTCCAGCTTAGGAAATACCTGGAGAGTTTGGGGGTGGAGTTTGGGGAGGGGAGGAACATCAGTGGGGTATATTGCCATAGAATCCACCTTCCAAAACAGCCATTTTCTCCAGGTGAGCTCATCTGTATTGCCCGGAGAGCAGTCATAATCCCAGGAGATCTCCAGCTACTACCTTGAGGTTGGCAACCCTAGTTCCTATAGGTATAATGTTACATCAGTATGGAGGCAAGTCTCAAACAGGGCTTAGGATAGTGCTGTTTGTGTGCTGTTAACCTTGGCAATGCAGTATTATCATTACCTTTATCCAAATTTGGTTATAATGCATATGTATACTTCGCTGAAATCCTAGTTCTAGGATGGTTCTTTTTCCTGCTTTTAACATAAAGGTTTTTTTCTTACACTGCTGTATATAAGAACTTCATCAAAGTATTAATTGAGTCAAATGGATTTCCAGCTTTTCTTGTCCTTGTGCGACTCAAACATTACCAAGATAGTTTACAATAATACCAAAATACTACTACAAAGAAATTATAAGATAAAATCAAAAATAGATTCAGCAACAATAAAATAATTAGATGTAAAAATGAAAAAAGGTTTCCAGATTTTTTTCTGACTTTTCTCCCTCTGGACCGTCATATCTGTAGCTCTGGCAGATTGTTAAACCATGCCAGCCATGGAGTTGGCAAACATACTCTCCGGCCACTGTGGCTCAGCTCATATAATGTCTTATTATTATTACTTATAGTCAGACAATCAGTGGATTGCAAGATACATTAACTTTTGAATATAACAGCAAAGATTCCTGGTCAGAGAAAAGAATGCTGTTGGGCTGGGATTGTAGAATAAAGGGGGGAAAGCAGGACACCACATGGGAAACATATCCGTTTAAGACAGCAATACAATCAGTGTAGGAAAGACTTCATCCCTAATACAGGTCACCTACTGAACTGAGTCATTACATCACAGTTTTGCTCCTTCTATAAGTATACCCTCCTAAACAATTCTGTTTTGCACATTTTACAAAATGATAGAAGCATGGGGGGCTTTCCCTTCAAATGTCGCATGAGGATGTCAAAACTGAAATGGGACGGATGTGATTGACTTCTGCCACAAAACCAAACACCTGGTTTCTCTTGGGGTTCTTTGCGTCTCACTTGAAGTTTAACTATTCATCATATGTAGGATTGGGAAGGACTTTTTTCCAGAGATGTGGGGCAGGAAATTTTCCAGTACTTATTTTTCCACAGAAAATGTTCTGCTTCTGTTGATTGTTCCATAATAAAAATAATGGTTGGTTGCCTCTGTGTGTGTGTGTGTGTGTAAGTGCTGTCAAGTCGCTTCTGATTTATGGTGATCCTATGAATTAATGACCTCTGAACATCCTGTCCTTAACAGCCTTGCTCAGGTCTTGCAAACTGAGGGCTGTGGCTTCTTTGAGTCAATCAATCTCATGTTTAAGCTTGATTTGATCTAGAACCCACTCATTTGTCTTTTGGCGGACCATGATATCCATAAAACTCCTCCAACAGCACATTACAAGGGTATCAACTTTCTTCTTGTCAGCTTCCTTCATTGTCCAGCTTTCATAATAATGAGGAATACTGTGGCATAAACTCACGTGATCTTGGTCACCAGCAACAGATCCTTACACTTTAGCTCCTTCATGGCTGCCCTTCCCGGACTCAGTCTCCTTTGTATTTCTTGGTTGGAGTCTCCCATTTGGTTGATGATGGGGCCAACGAACAGAAAATCTTCCATAATTTCTACTTCTTCATTGTCAACCTTAAAGTTGTGTAATTTCCCAGTAGTCATTACTTTTGTCTTCTTGATGTTCAGCCATAATCCTGCCTTGGCACTTTCTGCTTTAGCCTTAAGCAGTCTTGCCAATACCATATTAAGCAAACTTAGCAGTTTTTCAGGTGATTATACCTATGAATTGTGTGTGAGAGTACATGTGTGTGTTATTGATTTGTAAGGGAAGGGACACAACAACAAATACATATAATTTGAATAAAAATCAGGCTATGGTTTCACCATATTAGCTGTGCTCCTAGTGGAAGACAAAGCTAAAATTCTTTATCTCAGACTAAAAGTGACATCAAAGCTGACCTATATTTAGCTGACCAGGGGATTTATCCTCTGGTTAAACATCTGAGCTGAACACAACTGCTGTCAGTTCGAGCCCCGCACTGGTGTGAGCTACCAGCCGTGTCCCCAGCTCGCTGTCCACCCAGCAGTTCAAAAGCTTTGGCGAGTAGATAAAATGGGTACCACTTCTTAGAGAGGGTGGGCACACTTAACCCCCCCGGTGGGAAGTGTTGGCCGACAAACGGAAGGTCTGCGCGTAAGATCAAAAGCCGAGAGAGATCTACGCAGCATCAAAGAAAAGCCTGCAATGGGCCATTCCGGCCAGACAGTGGCAGTGATGCACTGCGACTGAGAAAAATGCTGACGACATCAAGCGACTCCGACTAAAGAATGCTGCCGGAACACGTCTGATGCTTACAGCTGACCAAATTCCCTGTCGACTGCGAAGTGTGTTTATTTATTATTATTATTATTATTATTATTATTATTATTATTATTATTATTATTATTATTATTGGAAGCGTTTGCATTAGAGCTCTTAGAATTTTAGTGCTTTTGGTTACTGTGAAGTAGCCATAATAAGTAGAAGAAAAACTACTGGCTTGGATCCAACACAGGATTTCTATGGATGAGGGAGGGGCAATTTCCACTTTGTTCCCCCTCCTCCCGCTGCATACCTCCCATTCTCCCCTCATTCTGTTCCTGAGAAGCACACTGTCCTCCAAGGCATTGTGGGCTGCTGCTGGGGAGGGGTGAGGAAGCTGTGTTCCATGGACAGAAATCATTGGTGGATCCAAACTTCTGTGTGGCATCTTTACTATAAGTTACTGAAAGAAGGAAGGAAGGAAGCTGGTAGATGTAAATAGCAGGTAGGAGTATGGTTGCAACCTGACAAGAATGAAAAAATATTAAACAACATGGTTTAACAATGAAAGGGAAGTACATGCTATATTGTTTTTGTATTCCAATAAAAATAATTTCTTCCCCCCCCCCTCAAAATAATATATTTCATTTCAAATACTTACTGCTATTGGAGTATCAAATAAACATGGGAAACTTTAAAAAATATTCTTTAGTAAATATAAACCCAAACTAAACATGCTAAATCTTGTCAAGCTGCATTTAGGGCATTGGAATTTCTTCCCCTTGGAAATCCACATCACTGCTCTTTTCTCTTTGACCAGGCGATGTGTCCCTTGGTTCTCTTGTTTGAGCTGTCTAAATGGTTTGCTAAATTGTTCCATCCCTTGTGGAAACCCATGATAACAGGATACCTTTTCTGTGTCATTCTGTGCTGGGACTTGGACTGTGTGGCTAAATCAGTCAGGAGGGTGGTGCAGAGAGAGAGAGAGATGATTTTCACATCCGTCTGTTTCCTATGAGTGAGCCATACTGGGTACCTACCTCTTACGTTTACATTTTTTTAATGTCTCCACAGTTTTGTATCATGAGCAGCACAGATACAGATATTAGTAATATAGGTCAGACAGGCTCTTTAAGTATATTAGGATTGGCTAATAGCAACTGTGCTTTGTGGTTCTCTTGTGCCTCATTTTATTTATTTTTTTAATTTACAAATAGGAAGCTACACTCCTACCGCAGGTGGGCCCTTCTCTGCTCTCACTCCTAGTATATGGCCTCAGGAGATCCTGGCAAAATACACCCAGGTACGATCAATAGGGGAGATACTATGTGCCTCATGTTTCCTCTTTTGTAATAGAATAATATTATCCTGAACAATGATTTGTGTGTGGATTATTTATGCTCATATATGCCTACAGGTACATTCCATACCATACGTGGCATTCAGTTGCCGGTTCAGCATAAATCCTCTTTATTACACAAGGGTGTCTCTAACCCTCTGATGAGTTAACTACGATATGGAATAATCGAATACCCAGCCCATTGAGAACTTAACAGGGAGAGTTTAATGGGATGGGTGAGTTGGGAGATCCAAAGGCAAATGAAGGCTGATCTTTACTTCATGTTCTCTTTTTGGGTACAGAAATCAGGGTAAGAATGCAGGTCTGAACAATATGCCTGCCATTTCAAAAGAATACTGAGTAGCTGGGCCTCGGTTATTTCCTATTTGCCACTTCTGAGAATTTTAAATGGATGGTGCCAGAGTTTATATAACAACATGTTGTTCAGGCTTGATGAGAAGTATCCTCTGTCTATAATAATCCACGCTTAGGCATGCAAAGTAAGAAGTGGCCTTGAATCACAGAATTTGTTAGAATGTCTTTCACTGGAAGAAGAAATAAGAATTCAGGGAAGCATTAGTCTGCACGGTAATTATTGCTGTGTATGCTGCGGTGGCTCAAGTGGTTAAGACGCTGAACTACAGGCTGTGGAAGGTCAGTAGTTCAGCAGTTTAAGACCCGGGTGCCGCATGATGGAGTGAGCTCCCATCTCTAATTCCAGCTCCTGCCAACCTAGCAGTTCAAAAGCAAGACATTGCAAGTAGGTAAACAGGTACCACTTCAGTGGGAAGGTAACAGCGTTCCGTGCGCCTTGTTTAGTCATGCCGGCCACATGACCACGGAAACGTCTTTGGACAGCGCTGGCTCTTCAGCTTTGAAATGGAGATGAGCACCGCAACCCTAGAGTCGGATTCGACTGGCTTTCGAGCAAGGAAACCTTTACCTTTTATGCCCCATCTCACTAATGTCCAAGGCTCACAGAGCAGCAGGAAAGTGAAAACTGACCATTCCTATCAGTTAATCTGCCGCTATAACAACCTCCAGATTAAAGCAGAAATTCTGTGATTTTACACTGGTAGATCTTTACTTCTACATGAAATTAGGTCAGGCATTAGTAATATAAATCCTGGTTTTAGCTTGTGTTTTGATATGAGAATTTTGGTGTCTAAATCAGAAGAATCGTTGCATCAGAATGCTAAGAAGGCACACCCATCCATGACAGGGGAGCATGTGTTTATTAATGTTACATGTATAGTCTTTCTTACTGGGACTCAAGGCAGTTGTGTGGGCCTCAGTGTTTCCTCTGTTCCTCTGAGTTTAACAAATGTACACATGTAAACATATATGGAATGTGTTGGTGATAACCAGGTCTGTGGTCTCTCAAAAGATCTTAGGTGCAATTTTGATAAAATGAAGTAAGGGAGTAAAGATTGGGGGAAGCTGGCAAAAAACCTGCCATAGTACCATCCTCCAAGCCTTCCTTCTTGGATTTGCTGAGTGCATCACATTTCTGTACCACCTTGTAATCCAAATGTTACTAATGTAGTTCACATCAAATAAAACAATATAAAAATGTAATACATATAAAAGACTGAAACGTCAAACAAAAGCAAGATGAAAAGCATTTTTCTGGTTGCATTCTAAATGCTTGGGGAGTAATGAGATAAAGAAAGGTCTCTAGAACCACAACCCAAATAAACTCTGTTCCTAGCAGATACCAGTCTTGGCTCCCAGAAGGATGGCATCGAGCAGAGCCTCATCGGTGGTGAATCTTAAAACCCTTGGTGGGGCAGGGGCTCCTGTGGGAGATGGCATTTTCTGAGGCTCCAGATTATGCTGGCATTAAAGATCAAAACCAGCACTTTGAATGGTTCTTGAAAACCATAACATAGGCAAATGAGTGAAAGCTGGTGTAGTGTGTTCTTGCCAGCTCACACTTGTTAACAAGCGAGCCATGGCATTCTGGACCATTTTCAAAGACACCTCTGCTTTGGACACCATTCTGCTGGTCCCATCTGACAATAACAGACCTCTAAATACATCTGGAAAGGAAACTTTTGGAGGAAGGCTATGGCGTAAGAGCACTCTCCTTTTTTTTACTGTGGATGTCAGCAATGTGTAGAAGCTTTGTATTTGATCAGCTGTACCATCTACTGGCAAACAAGGGAAACCAACTCTGTTCTTCTGTTTTCCAGCAAGAAGAATCTGTTGAGCAACCCGAGTTCCGATATGATGAATTTGGCTTCCGAGTAGACAAAGAAGGCAAGGTCTCTTCATTTTATGTGATGTGATAAGCTGCAAGGTCTAGATCTTTAACCCTTAGCCACACAGTCCTTTTCCTTGTGTCTTAAAAGCACTTTATTGTAAAAGATGAGGTCCTGGTGTAACAACAGTTTTAATATGCCCTTTTCAAAGCAAGGACTCAAGACAGACTACAGTAATAAAAACCATGATAAAACAATCCTGACAATAATAATATCAACCAAAAAAAATCAGGCCAAAACCATCAATAATGCAGAAGGCTTGCTGGCATTTCCAGGGAGGCCATGCCACCATTCATTTACATCCCACCTTTCTCCACAGTGGGGATCCAAAGCAGCTTACATTGTTCTCCTCTTCTCTATTTTATAATCACAGCAATCTTGTGAGGTAGGTTAGGCTGAATGTGTGTGAGTGGCCCAAAGTCACCCAGCAAGCTTTCGTGGAAGAGTAGGGATTCAGACCTGGGTTTCCCAGATCCTAGTCTGATATTCTAAGCACTGCAGCTTGCTGGCTAGAGGTCACTACTGGAATAAGCTGCGGAGTGAGCAGAAATCATTCTTCCTTCCTGTAGGAGGGAAGCTGTAATAGGCCTTGATCCAGAGAGTGGCTCTGTTGCATAACGGCAGGCCTGTAGATGTCAATTTTGTAACCTGTCAGTTAGAAATGTATGCATGTGTGCAAATTACAGCTTTTCCTTCTGAAGTACCTGAAACTGACAAACAGAACCAGAGGCCTGTGCCATGTGTGCTGTAACCAAGTACAGAGATTCCAGGAGGAAACGTATTTCCACCCATATGCCAAAGGCCCTCTGCTTTTCCTTTGCCCCACATTAAACCCAACAAGGGTTAAGTCGATATGCACAGTTCGTAACTAATGTGATATAGTAGAAAAGAGCAAGAGTCCAGTAGCACCTTAAAGACTAACAATATATGTGGCAGGGTATGAGCTTTTGTGAGTCACTTCTTCAGTGAGCAGTGACTCAAGAAAGCTCATACCCTGCCACATATGTTGTTAGTCTTTAAAGTGCTACTGGACTCTTGCTCTGTACTACTGCTACAGACAGACTAACACGGCTACCCATCTTGATCTATCTTTATGTGATATAGGTTTAGTTTGTATTTAGGAATCTGTTCTAGAATATAAAAGGTTTTGTGAAGAGTATCCCTGTCTATCCAAATCATTGCATTAATGAAACTGAAAATGAAGTAATGGTAATATTTTCCTTATTTTGCTGCACACACTTAAACTGATTGATATAAAGAGGCCTCATAAGGAGCTTCTTTACTATAATGGTGATTGTGATTTATTTGTATCCTGAAGTTAGGAAGGGGGTCACTGTGCCCACGTCAAAAGCCCTTGGGACTTGCTTTCCATTTCTGTAGATTGAAAAGTCTGGGCTAGGGGTGTGCATTTGGATCTAACCAAGCCGAAAATATACCTGCTCGATGCCATCTTTCTGGGAGCCAAGACTGGCATTGACTAGGAGCAGAGTTTATTTGGGCTGTGGTTCTAGAGACCTTTGAAAGGAGTTTCCTTTATCTCATTACTCCCCAAGCATTTAGAATGCAATTCTGATCTAGCCAAGCTGAAAATATTGGTATTTTTCAAGTATATTTCAGCTTCCAAAATGTATCTGAGTTTTCTCAGAACTCTCCCCCCCCCAAAAAAAAACCCATGAGAAAATCCCAGTTATATTTGGGGGTTTCAGGTAGATCTGAAAACAGCGGAGACTCTCAGCTGTTTGTCAGGCAGGCTTATGCAGTCCCGACTACAGAAGTCAGCCCAAGGATCAGCTGAAGTGGCAGGGAGCTGAGAGTTCCCTGCCGGCACAGCTCTGCGCTGCCTTCTCCTACAGCTCAGTTTAAACCGGGCTGCAGGAGAAGCCAAGCCAGCCACAGGACCAGACTGGTATTTTTTACTGGCATTTTAGAGCATGGACTCTAATCTGGGCGAACTGGGTTTGATTCCCTATGCCTCCACATGCAGCTGCTAGAGTGACCTTGGTTCAGTCACAGTTCTCTCAGAGCCGTTCTCTCAAGGACATTTCTGGAAAGAGCTCTCTCAACCCCACCTACCTCACAGGGTGTCTGTTGTGGGGAGGGGAAGGGAAAGGAGATCATAAGCTGCTCTGAGAGTCCTTTTGGTAGTGAAGGGGAGGGTATAAATCCATTCTCTTCTTCTTCTCAGGTCTGTTGGACCCCCCAAAAATTGGGATTTCCAAAAAATTCCAGATCTGAATACCATACCAATATTTGGATCAGTGTTCCCTCTAAGCTGAGTTAGTGTGAGCTACCTCACAGTTTTTTAGCCTCTGGCTCACACATTTTTGTCTTAGCTCGGGAAGGATGGCTCCAGAGCAAACTAATTTCTGCAGTAGCCAAATAGTTCACTCACAACTTTAATGCCAGTATCTCACAAAGTAGAATTTTGGCTCACAAGCCTCCACAGCTTAGAAGGAGCATTGATTTGGATCCAGGATTTTTCAGGAATCCTGAAATTTTTTCAGATCCAATAGACCCAAACTGGAAAATACCAGTAAAAAAAACTGCACACCCCTAGGCTGGGCATCTTAGATATAGGAGGCAACAGCCACCTGCTTCTTTTCTTCCCCCGCCTAAAACTTGGGTCTTTTGCTGCAGATGGAGCTGAGCCAAACTCCAGCAAGCTCCTGGGAATCCCGTTGACTGAGGAGCCGCAGCAGAGACTGAAATGGCAAGCCCATTTAGAGTTCACACACAACCATGATGTGGGAGACCTCACTTGGGACAAGATTGAAGTCACACTTCCACGCTCAGATAAGCTGCGGTTGTTGGTGTTGGCTGGCATTCCGCACAGCATGAGGCCGCAGGTGAGGTGGTTTTGGATACTCATGGAGGGGGACGGAGAAGAGGAGAGTTTGCTGGTGAGATCTCTCCTGTCTCAGAATCTGGTGTCTTATTAGGAACACTTCTTTTTTCCTCAGCTATGGATGCGCCTATCGGGAGCCCTGCACAAAAAAAGAAGTACAGAGATGTCTTACCGAGAAATTGTGAAAAACAGCTCAAACGATGAGACTATTGCTGCCAAACAAGTGGGTAATTCCCAGTGGGGGTTAGTGCTTGAGGTGCAAAAAGGCCAGTCTGTCAGGGGGGAGGAGGGTGTGTGACGGCAGAAGTGGGGAAAGGAGAAAGGGTTGCCCTGTTTTAATTGAGAGCAGTTTCTCAGTTGAGGTGGATCCCCTTTTTTCACATTGAAAATGAGCTTTGAGGGAATGGGTCACGTCCTTCCTTCTGATACAGATGAGAGGATTTGCCTCTGCGGGATAAAATATTTGTGGAACAAAGAGAGTGAGTTTGTGTATGCAAGCATGCATCTGCCTCCATCATGCATTGCATTGAACAAGAAAACTCTTATCATCTTTAGAACATGGGAATGTTCCAGGTTAGTATCTGGAAACACTGTTAGCATTTCTCCCAACCACAGGTCTATTTGCTGCACAGCAAAGGCTAGTTATCCTGCAGGAACAGATTTTACATAAAACTCTGTTGAGCAACAATTGGCAAGATAATAAGGTGAAAATCAGTATTATTAATGGGGCTTTTCACTCAAGCACTTTCTGTTGGCTATAAACATTGGACAAAATGTGGAATGGAAGCCTGGTTATATAATACAAGGTGGTGTGGTTCATGCTCAGCACAGCACAGTTATCTCCTTCATTACAAGCCCTAAGTGATCCTCAAAATGACAGGCAGCCCCATGGAAATCGGGTGAAGAAGTTAGCAAAGCCAACCGGAGGAGATGAGGCAGCATTCAAAATGAAGGATGCCCTTCCTAGTAGTAAGATTTTTAACAATATTATTTCTCACTATACAGTCCCAGATGATTTACTTCAACCATTAGGGAATAATTATTATTTGAGGGACTAGGTGTACAATGGGGTAATTGATAATCGTGCAGACGAAATCTGTTCCATGGTATAAAGCTATAAAGAAAGACCACTTTGGCATACATCTCTGCACACCATCTTAGAATAGTGTTTACAGCACTACGCTTTCAGGCTATGCCAATGGAACTACACACTGGACAATATCTAAAAATACTGCAGGAACAACGTATTTGTGTTTGCAGAAATTCTGTGGAAGATCTTTTCATTATGTTATGTACTCGGAACTCAGAAGGAAATTTTTGACTAGGATAGCAGATTGACTGTACAGTTTTTCTGACATAGATAAATTAATAATTTTGCTGACAGATGTGGACTTCTTTGTTTCCAACAAGATAGCACTTTTTGCATTAGCAGGTAGGAAAGTCAGAGCAAAGGTGGTTCTCATGAAAGCAGCTAAATGAAATGTAATGTCCTGATATGTAATTCGTATTTCTTGAAACTGCCTGTGAATTTTTGGAGATGGATGTTTGTTTAAAAAAATTCAAGGTAATTAGCATCTTTGAGATTGGAAGTTGTGGGAGCTGCTACCATTCCGCAGGGCATGCAGGGCAGAGATGTTCCGCTGGGCCTTCGGTTGAGGACAGCAACGGGGGTGTCCTTTGGTACTTTTACACAAGTCCCCTCCCCTCGTAACCCCTCCCCCCCAGGGAGGCTGAGGAGTTGGAATCCTTTCCGCCATCTTATATATGCTGCGTTTTGCCATCTCATATATGCTGTTTTTATGTATTGGTATTTATTGGGCTGTTTTAATTTAGTTTTAATTTGAGATTTGTATATTATTGTAAGCCATCCTTGTAGGGAAGGGTGGCCTAGCAGATCTAAATAAATGTGAATATTTAAAATGGACGTTTTTTAAAAATTTAGCATGTCTTAACTTGCAATGGCCAATGGCCTCATACTATAAACTTGACTGACTAGTAGTACGGTTGCCTCTTTGGGACCCAGCCATCCCTGAGAGTGCATAGGCCTCTAAGGCTGAGGCTTGGACTTAACTCCTGTACCCCACCCCACTGGAATTCAGTTTTGTTACAGAAAGAGGAATTTTAAAAACATTTATTTGCCACATGTAGGAAGGAGGAGAAGCCTGGAGCAGTGGTGCACAGGACAGCTCTTAAAACGGAGGCAAAGGGCAGCCCCTTAGCGTGCCCCTCAGGGACACAGTGGCTGCCATTGGTGATCATTTGAACTGGTTGGAGAGAATTTCATAGATGTACACCTCTACGCTGCACAGACCCTCACATCAGATATCATGTGCTGTATATTTACAATCAGTGTGTGCTAAGAGAAGCTCAGTCTCCTTTCGCTCTTAAAGCAGGCCACTTAAGATGAGAGATTTCTGAACCAATGGAAGGTTGTGCACTCTCTTGTGGGCCTTCTGTGCCAAGTCTAATTGGAAGTCTCAAGGCATAAGGCCTACTTGAGCAGGGAACTCAGTGAAAGTTGGAGGGCTACTGAATGAAAAGAAGGTTGAATGGCATATTGGGAATTTAATTTTGTAATGGAATTCTTGTTATTTGTTAGATTGAGAAGGACCTTCTTCGCACCATGCCCAGCAATGCCTGCTTCTCCAACATGAACAGCATTGGAGTGCCACGGCTACGCAGAATACTACGGGGGCTGGCTTGGCTGTACCCAGAAATAGGCTATTGTCAAGGCACTGGCATGGTAAATGAGCTTTGAGGACTATAATGCGAGTTTCTCTTTGGGGACTTGTTCCAGAGTCTGAGTAGGAGTTCTTGGGTAGCAGTACAAGCAGAAGCATACACAGTGTTAAACTGAATAAATAAAATGAATTAACTTTAGGATCGCTCTCACAGAGTGAACAAAATATCACATGCTACTCTGGCCATAAGTTTGCCATGATGAGAGTTCCAGCCCCTGGCTTGTGACACACCAAATGGCTTACTTCAGGGATCACTTCAGGGATAGTATATAGGGAATCTCTCTTCCCACTGGGGATCCCTAGAGTGTCATGGGGGCATGGGAATGCATGTTGTGATGGGCAGCAGTGCAACGAGATACCCTGTACACTACAAGTCACAGAGCTGCATCTCTGTATTCCACATAATGTGTGCTATGACTTGGTCTTTGACTATAGGAGGAATAAAGAATAGACTGGTACTGCTCCTGTACTTGCAGTTATTGGCACTGTAAGATAGAATCAGAATTACTCCAAGAATTTGCCCTACTTTACTCCCTGTGGCTGGGGAGCAGCGTGTTTACCCGATATCCTGCATGCGTAACTTAACATCAGGGGAGTGACCAAGTGCTACACAGAGAATATTGTTTGATCAGAGCACATTTATGCTCTGGATTCCTAGCTGGTCGCACATCATGGCAAGTATCCTCACCCTCAGTTATGCAACAAAGCTCATTCCTCCCGAGAGTCAGGAAGTAGTTAAAAATGTAGCGCTTTGCAGTCCTCAAGACCACACTTTTAACAGTTCAATATGAACGAGAAACTGAAGCGGAAAGCTGGTGATTTTTAGAGCCCTGTTATTTCAGAGGCTTGAACTGCCCTGCCCCGATCCTGTCCTGTCACTGAAAATAGTAGGCAACTTCCTGTACAAGCTAGCCACCTAACAAGGTGGGTGTAAATTCTTTAAATAAATAGATGGCTGAAAATTGCACTTCTCAAAATGTGTAAATGTGTATTATGAATCTCCCTTTGGGTCTTCCCTTCCCTCCTGCTAGGTAGTGGCTTCCCTGCTTCTGTTCCTGGAGGAGGAAGATGCCTTTTGGATGATGTGTGCCATCATTGAAGATCTGGTTCCTGCCTCCTACTTCAGCACCACTCTGATAGGCGTGCAGACCGACCAGCGTGTCCTGCGCCATCTCATTGTGCAGTACCTGCCACGGCTGGACAAACTTCTCCAGGAGCATGACATTGGTGAGAGTTCTCCTTGGCCCACAGAGCCAGTTCCACTGTGAGCCCATTCTTGTGAAAGCAAGGCTGCAGTTCCTTTCATGCACTAGAGGTGCATACTGGGGATTTTGTTATTTGCTGGAGAAATTGGAAGTAGTTAGAAATGAATGGACAGCTTTGGAGTACTCAAGACCACACTTTTAAAAATTTCAGAATGAATGGGGAATTGAAATGGAAATAAAGCCTCCTCAATGATGCTTCAACATTGTACCACACTGTTGATAATATGAGCATTACTACCTGTGCCACCAGGGGGAAACTGATGTGGCATACAGTCTGAACATGCTTTGTATGCGAGACAGGAGTCACTCCCACTTGGAGTGAGTACATATGTGTATATGTGCACATGCATATATGTCTTTTGTATCTTGAACATTCTTGGGAGAATGGGTTGTTTTTGTTTTAAAGGGCAAAGCTCTCTTTGAGCCCCAAGAGCTATTGCATACCATTCTGTTTTTGTGTAGATGTGTGGGTTTTTCATCTGAGATTTGTTTGTGTGAGAGAGTGGAATATATTTATAATCCCCGTGTGTATGAACTATGTGCATTCCGTCGGAAAAATTTAAAAGAAAGCCAGTATTGGCTCATTATGAGGATGGTAAAAGGATGGCTTATTCAGAGGAAAGAACTACGGTGCTTCTTTCTTGATGCCGAGAGTGGAGGGAAGGGACTGTGAAATGGGAGCTGTATGCCTCTCTTCTTTGTCTCCACCCACAGAGTTGTCCTTGATCACCCTGCACTGGTTCCTTACGGCATTTGCCAGTGTGGTGCACATCAAGCTGTTGTTACGAATCTGGGATCTCTTCTTCTACCAGGGCTCCATAGTTCTCTTCCAGACCACACTGGGCATGCTCAGCATGAAGGTAACTAGCATTCCCTTGTCCCCAGCTATACACTTCCATTATGGAATGAGTGTTGCGTATGAGGTTCTTTTATCGTTAAGAGTCTTCTGAAGGTGGCAGCATATGGAAAGGATGAGAAATATGCTCTTTCAAAAGCACACACTGTGACTCTGTCTCTCAGCATCCCCCGTTGCCTTACTAGCCTCTGTTCCATCTCCGGCGTAATGCCATCAAATTAGAATAGAAGCCTGGGACTGCTGAAACTTCATAACCCTCCTAATCTTCCTTTTTTGGGTGGAAGTCACAAAGCCAATGACATTTCTGTTGATATGTGGATGCTCAAAAGGTTTTGTTACGGGCATTTTCTACAAGAGTGAAGGACATATGCTCTACTGTCCGAGCTTGTATTGGGCAGATTTAGAGAGCCAATGGAAATCATTCCACTTTGGCTATCTAATGCTGTGGTGCTGGTGTAGTCTGGCTATTTTGTTTCTCTCTGAGGTAGCTGAACTCCTGTGCAGCATGAAGGGATTCCTTTACATGCAGCTTGACAAAAAAACTTGTGAGTGTTGATGTAAATATTAATTGACCAGAACAATGGGTAGTCTTTCTGTATGTTTTCTGTTTCTTTGAGTTCACCGTACCCTGTACTGCTAGACCTGCTGCAGAAAGGGCTCCTGAAAATGTGTTGGATTTTCACATCATAATATATAGAATTAGTTTTGAAGATCTAAGAGAAGCAACACTGAAGGGGCGGCACAGTAGTTTCCAGTACTCAGTATAACTACTTCTGTCCTCCAAGCAGAAATTACTCATAAGGCTGTTATTGGAAGGTTTCTGGTGCACAGGTGCATTGCAGGGGCCCCCAGTGTGGTGCCCTGCCCGTGGGCACTATGGTGCCCCCTGTATTTTTAGAAAGTGGAGGGGGCCAGATAGAGCTTTTGCCCAGCAGCGCTTCTGATTAGCCACTGGAGACTAGAATGCCTGTGCAGATCTTTAAATACTGCTTTGGCAGCTGCCGCCACTACAACACAAGGATCTCCACTGCCTAAGTGAAGCTAAGCTGTGGCAGACATTTTGTGGCTGCACCAACCAGGCTGTGTCAAAATTGCAAATGTGCTCAAAGGCTCAAAAAAATTGGGGGCCTCTGGTGTGTTGGAAATGGAATCTTCCCTGGAATGAAGTGAGTGAAAGTGGCAAAGGGGGAATAATGAAGGCATATGCTGCCTTTGTTACAGCTGTGTTGTGGAAATAACTGTAGCATTAGATACAGACGCTGAAACAGGAAGAAATGTGAAAATATTTTGGAGCATGATTAGCACATAACATGTGGAACGACCTTTTCATGCTAACACAGGAAGATGAACTGATCCAGTCAGAGAACTCGGCGTCCATCTTCAACACTCTCTCAGATATCCCTTCTCAGATTGAGGATCCAGATGTGCTTCTGCAGGAAGCCATGCGTGTTGCTGGATCGCTGACAGATGTGGCGGTGGAGACGCAGCGTTGCAAGCACCTCGCATACCTCATTGCAGACCAAGGGCAGCTGCCGAACCCCAGTGCTTCTGTTAACCTGTCGAAGGTAATTTGGCAAAGCCCTTAAGGGGTGTTAGTTTGCAGTACTTCCTTCCTGTTGCTTTTTCTTGGCTTCTTCTGTCCTGTTGGCTGGAGGCAGTAATAAATGGTTTGTTGCAGAAAGGCCCTAAACTTTAATTCCTTGATGCTCTCCTTGTTGTTTTTATTGATCTGAAAGACTTGTATCTTGCCTTGCCTTTCCACTCATATGAGTTTCCAGTTGATTTACAACAAGAAACTGAAAGCAGCAAGACGCATTATATATAAATCTCACTCTTGGCTCCTCCAAAATGACAGCCAATTTTCCTCCGCTATCCTTCTCCGTGTTTGTAGCATACAGGACACATCAGGAGAATGTGGCAGCAGGCGGTGGTTCCATGGGGTTGGGCACTTTCCACCCTGCCAGGATGCAGAACTAACTGCAGCCCCTCCAGTGATCCCCAAGTGCTGGGGTGGGTGGGGGGGATGGCAGCAGTCCTTCTCCCAGCCCTGCCATTCCTGCCACTAGCTCTGTCTGGATCTTCTGCCTCCCATTTGCTGCCTGCAACCTTGAGACACTTAAAATAGCTGCTTTCCCACACTAGCCAGTCTGTTTCCTCCCATGCAGATTGTACGACGCAGGACACAGCGCAGGAAGTCTGGGATCACGTCACTGCTTTTTGGTAAGAACAGATACACATGCTGGCATGTGGGGTGTGTGTGGCACAGAGCAGTTGAAAGGTTTGCGATAGGGTGAAATGCCATGTATGTGTACACAAGAGAGTAGCTCTATTTGTCTTTGGGATGCCCGTGCAGATTTTTCTTTCTGCCCCTTTCCCAGGTCGATCTTTTTTGAAAACAGGGAAAGTAGAGGCAGGCAATATACAAGTGGTGGTGTACTTTGCTGTAAGCAGGAAACAGGTTGTCTTGTCAGTGGCTGTGATGAAGCCCCAGAAACTACTTTTGCCCTTGCAAAAGCCCAGAGAAGGACATTTCTGAGACAAACACACTCACAAGAGGGAATGAAGAAACTGCCCTCCTTGCTGATGGATGCACTTGTCTGTTCTTCAACTCAAGGTTCTTCCACAGCAACCCTGTCTACAGAAGTCTTTTGTTCAGCCACTGGAATAATGTCATATGTTTTTAAGCCTCTAGAGCCTTCACTGATCTTCTGTGATACATTCAGCTTGCATTATAGACACCCCCTTATTTGACTCTAGCTTTGACACTTTTTTCTCTCTTGTGGTGTCTTGGGGAAGGTGAAGAAGACTTCTGTCCTTTGGAGCAAAATAATGTGTCTTGAAGAATGGTGCATTTGCCCTCTTCAGCCCTTCTCATTGCATGGCTTCAGAAGACAGGCATTCATGTGGAAAGAGACTGAATAAAGAAGGTCTGTTATAACGAAGTGTAGTGTAGCAGGAAAGTGCACAAACTGAGAAAAGGATGGAAGGTGAAACAGCAAAAACACTAATGCCATTGTTTTATTTATTCATTTATTTAAAACTTTTATTAGCCACCATTCCCCTTGCAGGGCTCAAGGCGGCTCATTAGTTACCTCTTTGCTGCCCCACATTTAGAAGTCTGTAGAGTTGGGTTTTGGTACAGAAAAGAGCAACAGAAATGCTTCTTAATCCAAGATCTGGCTTCCAGTTTGGTTGCCCTATTGGACAGCCTGTGCTGGAAGGGTTTGTCTCTGTCAATTCTCGTTGATTTCAGTACCAGCGACGGTAGTGTCTTCTGAATTACCTCACTGGGAGAGGACAGGAGGCAGCTTTGCAGTGATTCCTGTCCTTCCTGGAGAGAGTCCAAGAAGGTAGTGCTAAGAAACTACTTTTGCATCCCGCAGCTTCTGATGCACAGGATGCCATAAGAGTCCATTTTTGTCCTCCCCCATGTTGTTCCAACATTTATATAAAATTGCCCATTCCAGAACCGCTGGTTTCGGGAGGGGTGTTGAAAGACCTGAGTCAGATTGAGGTGACGAGAGAGGAGGTCCTAAAACTGATAGACAACTTAAAAACTGATAAATCACAAGGCCCAGATGGCATACATCCGAGAGTTCTGAAAGAACTCAAATGTGAACTTGTGGATCTCCTGACAAAAATATGTAATCTTTCCTTAAAATCTGCCTCCATTCCTGAGGACTGGAAGGTAACTAATGTCACTCCCATCTTTAAAAAGAGTTCCAGAGGAGATCCAGGAAATTACAGGCCAGTCAGTCTGACATCGATACCGGGCAAATTGGTGGAAACCATTATTAAGGAAAGAATTAGTAGGCACATAGATGAACAAAACCTATTGAGGCAGACTCAGCATGGGTTCTGTAAGGGAAGATCTTGTCTCACTAACCTGTTAGTGTTCTTTGAGGGGGTGAACAAACATGTGGACAAGGGGGATCCAATAGATATTGTTTACCTGACTTCCAGAAAGCTTTTGATAAAGTTCCTCATCAAAGGCTCTTAAATAAGCTCAAAAATCATGGGATAAAAGGACAAGTCCTTTTGTGGATCAAAAACTGGCTAATTAATAGAAAACAGAGAGTGAGTATAAATGGGCAATTTTGTCAGTGGAGGGTGGTAAGCAGTGGGGTACCGCAGGGATCAGTACTTGGTCCGCTGCTTTTTAACTTGTTCATTAATGATTTGGAGTTGGGAGTAAGCAATGAAGTGGCTAAATCTGCAGATGATACGAAGTTGTTCAGGGTGGTAAAAACCAGTGAGGATTGTGAGGCTCTCCAAAGGGATCTGTCAAGGATGGGCAAGTGGGCGTCAACATGGCAAATGGGGTTCAATGTGGCCAAGTGCAAGGTGATGCACATTGGAGCCAAAAATCCTAAATATAAATACACATTGATGGGGTCTGAACTGGCAGAGACTGACCAAGAGAGAGATCTTGGAGTTGTAGTAGATAACTCACTGAAAATGTCGAGACAGTGTGTGACTGCAATAAAAAAGGCCAATGCTATGCTGGGGATTATTAGGAAGAGTATTGAAAACAGATCGGCCAATATCATAATGTCTGTATATAAATCAATGGTACAACTTCATTTGGAATATTGTGCGCAGTTCTGGTCACCACACCTTAAAAAGGATATTATAGCTTTGGAAAAAGTGCAGAAAAGGGTAACGAATGATAAAAGGGTTGGAACACTTTCCCTATGAGGAAAGGTTAAAGCGCTTAGGGCTCTTTAGCTTGGAGAAACGACGACTGAGGGGTGACATGATCGAGGTTTATAAGATTATGCATGGGATAGAGCAGGTAGAGAAAGAGGTACTTTTCTCCCTTTCTCACAATACAAGAACTCATGGGCACTCAATTAAATTGCTGAGCGTTCGGGTTAGAACGGATAAAAGGAAGTACTTCTTCACCCAAAGAGTGATTAACACATGGAATTCACTGCCACAGGACGTGGTGGCAGCTACAAGCATGGACGGCTTCGAAAGGGAATTAGATAAGCATATGGAGCAGAGGTCCATCAGTGGCTATTAGCCACAAGGTATAGATAGGGACTCTGGGGCAAGTGATGCTCTGTATTCTTGGTGCTTGGGGGGGGGGTCAACAGTGGGAGGGCCTCTAATGTCCTGGCCCCACTGGTGGCCCTACTGATGGCACCTGGTATTTTTGGCCACTGTGTGTCAGAGTGTTGGACTGGATGGGCCCTTGGCCTGATCCAACTCTTATGTTCTTATGCTAGGGACAAAGGACATCTGGAGCTTTGCAGTTTAGTGCCGTCAGTACGCCGATGACGTTCAGCTCCATCTCACCTTTCCATTGATTTCTAGGGAGGCTCTAGAGGTTTGGAGCCAGTCTCTGGAGTTAGTGACTGGGTGAGGGTGAATAAAATGAACATTAATTCAGGCAAGCAAATATTGTTTGGTATCTAGGAATAATACAGCCTGCATTGGATAGGACTAAGCTTCCACATAAGACTTGGCTTTGTCACTTGGGTGTTTTCTTAAGTTAAAGAATTTGATTTATTTATTTTTTAACTTCAGGAAAAATATGACTAAGGGAGAGGTGGACTCAACTGGTGTTTCACGCTGTCTCAGAATGTTAGAACTTGAGGTCACACAGTTAAATTCATTTGTGATGGGTTTGGAGGAGAGAGAAGCGAGTCCTTCTTTCCACCATTCATAAGTATGGAACTTGCTACCACCAGATGGTGATGGCCACTAGCTTAGATAATTTGTCTTCTTTAAAACGATTAGACTAATGAAAGGTAAATCAGTCAACCGCTACTGGTACCTCCATGTACAGAAGCAATATTCTTTTCAGTGCTGGATGCCAGGGACAAGCCAAGGGAAGGCTATCACCTTTGCACCCTGACTGAGAAATTTCTTTCTGTTTACATCATTTCTCCTTTATTTCTAGGGGAAGATGATGTGGAGGCACTGAAGGCTAAGAACATTAAGCAAACAGAGCTGGTAGCAGACTTACGTGATGCCATCCTGCAAGTGGCGCGGCATTTCCAGTGTGTGGATCCCAAGAGTTTCAGCATAGTAAGTGGGGGACAGTCTCCCTGGGCATAAGACTCTGACAAGGCCTGTGCTTATTTTGCTGTGAGCAGATTGTAGAATGTTAAATTGAGAACCTGGTCCCTGAGGTAGAGAAAGAATCCCTTCATTTCAATCTGCTTCGCATGAACATGGCTACCTCCTGTCCTTCTCCAACCAGGACCTAACTCCAGATTATACCATGGAGAGCCACCAACGAGACCATGAAAGCTACGTGGCATGTTCCCAGAACCGCCGCCGGCGTGCCAAGGCACTCCTGGATTTTGAGCGCCATGATGACGATGAACTGGGTTTCCGCAAGAATGATATCATCACGGTATGAGTGCTGGGATGGGAGCATCGTGCAGGGGATGCAGGGGAGGGGCGTTTGGAATTATACAGGTAGAGGACAATGAATGGATTTTTTTAAAGCTACAGCACAAGTTAGAGTAAGACAAACATGTCAGTGCTATGAACCTGCCCCCTACTCTGTTGTAATGTGCATACATCTGTATAACAATTCGAATAAATGGTAAATACATGGAGCACATAGAAGAATTTAAATTTAATTTTGTGAGATACAAGAGAGCAGAGGATGAAAGGTCCAAAGAAGGAACCAGAAACAGAATGGTTAAAAGAAGTTTATAAGAACATGTATATAGTATGGATGATGGTGGGGAACTGGAGGGTTTTGAAACATGGTGTCAGAGGAGAATGTGTAAAGCAAGTTGAATGGAAAGAAAACTATATGCAGAAACTGGCGGAAGGGGAGGGGGAAACAGCCCATTTCAGCCCTCATAATTCTTGTCATCTTCAGAACCAGTAGCATGTGTCCTTCCTCCATGATGGACAGGGATGCACACACGTCATTATTATTATTATTATTACTAGCAGTAAAGCCCGTTGTGAAAGCAATACAACGGGATCTAGAAAGAGGCTCTGGGGCAGTGCTCTGGCTTTGGGCAAACAGTGTCAATTTGCTGTGGTGACCTCAGCAGGGTATAATGACAGAGTCCACTGTTTTCTCCAGAGGAACTGATCTCTGCTACCTGAAGAGCAGTTGTAATTGTGAGTGATCTGTAGCCCTCACCTGGAGATTGGCAGCAATTGTTACCCAGGACAAAATGGCTGGTTTGGAGGGTGGAGTCTATGGCATTCTACCTGTCTGAGGTCCCACCCCTCTGCAAACCCCACCCTCTCCAGGCTCCACCCCACAAATCCCTAAGAATTTGTCAGCATGTAGTTGGCAACCCCATCTCCTTCCCAGCTAGCCATCAACCTACCATTATCTGCCCCTTTGACTTCAGCTGACTTCTGCCCTCCCTTCTGCAGAGCAGTTGTAATTCTGAGTGCTCTCCAGCCCTCACCTGGAGATTGGCAACAATGGTTCCCTATGTGGGACTGACTGGTTTGGAGGGTGGAGTCTATGGCAGTGTACCTGTCTGAGGTCCCACCCCTCCTCAAACCTCACCCTCTTCAGGCTCCATCCCTCAAGTCTCCAGGAATTTCCCATCTGGAGTTGGCAACCCTATCAGGACTGGCCCCAATGTGTTTTCTCCCAAAGGCCAAAGTAGGTGACAGGACCAAGCTTAGTTGCCTACCAACAGGCACTGAGGGGAATGTAGGGTTGCCAGCTCTAAGGAGGGAAATACCTGGAGGTTTGGGGGGTGGATTCTGTAGAGGGCCGGGCAACGGAGGCATCGGCCTTCCCAATGTGTTTTCTCCCAAAGGCCAAAGTAGGTGACAGGACCAAGCTTAGATGCCTACCAACAGGCACTGAGGGGAATGTAGGGTTGCCAGCTCTAAGG